TTTTTTTTTTTTTTTTTTTCTCCCAAAATTTTTTTTTTTTTTTTTGCCCAATGGAAGGAAAGGACAGTGATAACCTGAAACAAAAATGTTACTGATCCTACCTGAATCTCAAAGCTGACTTTCTGAACTTCTTTAGGAGGATGAGCGTCAAGAAAATAGAGATCAAAGCTTAAACAATTTTGCCATTTTTTCCATTTAGCTTATCAAAAAACAAGCTTGACAGACTTGATCACAGTGTCATAGTGTTAATAGGAAAAGGGATGCTGAGCCACCAGGAAAGGAATGTGGGGAAAGCCCACCTTCCCCTGCCTGGTAGATGGTGGGAAGGAAGTAAGGAAACAGTGTGGAAATGGTCAGTGGGAAGACCAACTCCCATTCCTCACAACCTACCCAATATCTGTATCCTCCAAGAATGATGGCCTGTGGGGCTGGGTTCTTCCTGGGAGAATCCCTTCTTTCTTTACTAGAGAGGCTGACTTGTGATAGCCTGGGACAAGGACACCAGCACAGATGAATCCACCATTAGTGCACCCCAGAGAGTTCATTCAAACAAGACATTGCATCGAATAAGGGTGTCAGTAACCCAGACTGCCACCCCCATCTGTCGTTTTGTCTGTGGTGGCTCGTATGGTGCTCTGATGCTGGAAGCTATGCCTCCAGTATTTCAAATACCAGCAGGATCACTCATGATGAATAGTTTTCAACAGTTTACAGACTAGGAAGAAAGGTCTGGCAATCAACTTCAAAAATTAGCCAATGACAATCTTATGGATCATAAGAGAATATTGTCTGACACAGTGCTGGAAGATGAGACCATAGGTTGGAAGACACTCAGAATACACAGTGGCAGCAACAATGGACTCAAGCATACCAACAATCATGGAGATGGTGCAGGACCAAGCAACGTTTCATTCTCTTGTTCTTGGGCTGCCATAAGTTGGAGAGAATCTGAAGGCAACTAACAACTGTCCCAAGACATTTTTGTTTCTTTTCCTTCAAATACTTTCTTTAAACAAATGTTTATTCAATTTCTACCAGGGCTTTGAATTGGCTCAAAATGGTTTAGTCATGGCTGATGGAGCATAAGTGTTGTGTAGCAACCAAATCTCTTGCATATGGGACTTTTTACCTGAGTAGGAAACAGGCAGCAGTGCTCCACTCAAAGATGGCAGGTGACTGCAGCACTTTGAATGTGTGTTGGCCACCATCTTTGAGCAAGACATCACTGTCTGTTTCCTACCCAGGTCAAAATCTAACACACAAGAGATTTGGTTGCTATGCAACACATACACTCCATAGACCATTATTGAACCGTTTTGAACTGGTTTGAAACCCTACTATGTGCCTGCCACTGTGCTAAGCACTGACAATAACTGTTGTTGTTGTTGTTATGTGCCATCGAGTTGGACCCGACTCATAGCGACCCCTCCTTGGGTTTCTGAGGCAGTATCACTACGGAAGTAGATTGCCCCATCTTCCTTCCAAGGAGTGGCTGGTGACAATAACTAGGGAGTTAATATAGATATGGGCCTTGCCCTCATGGAGCTTTCAGGATAGTAGAGGAGCATATTACTTAACTGATAAATATAATAAGTGCTATGAAGGGGATGCAAAAGTTGCATTTGGAGCATATGACAGGAGAGTTTACTGGGTCATAGGAGACTAAGGAAAGAGGATTGAAGTTAACTAGATAAGGAAAGAGGGAAAAATTGTAACAGGCAGAGAAAGCAGAATGTGCAAAAGCCCTGTGGTGGGAGAAATAGGGCAAGTGATGGACTAAAGTAAGGTTTTTGTGACTGAGAGCAAGATGGTGAGGCTTCTTGGTTTGAAAGAAGGCTGAAACCAGGCTGGAGAGTAAGTTGGAGCCACACCATACAGTCTTACACATCACATTAGGGATTTTTATCTCAATGCTAATAGCTAGGGAAAGCCACTACAATGTTTACAATGGGGGAGGGAGATAACATGTTATGAAATAACATTAGCAGATCCTTCTTGAAGTCATCTGTGTTAATTCCTTGTCTCCAGCTTATGCTACAAGATTACCAAACACACACACACACACACAAACACTCTATCTCAAACACACACACATACCTGTACCCATCTTTCTATAGGAACAAACAAGAATTTGTAGGTACAGAATAGTAAAAATTCTTGGAGAAATGAAACATCTGCCCCCACCACAGCAATGAAGCTTATGTGTGGAGTTCAGTAACACTCAACACTTTCCACAGCTTTAATTTTCACTCTTTGCTGAGGACTCCTCAATCTATACTTCAAGTGCAGACCTCTCTCCTGAGCTCCAGTCACGTGTGTTCAACAATCTGCGAACTACCTCCACATGGAAACCTCAAACAAAGTTCAAGCAGCTAAAGCCTGACCCATTATCCGCCCCTTCTGTGTCCTCTATCTCAGAGAACGCCCCCCTCCACCCAGTCCCAAGATAGAAACCTGAGTGTCAGTCATCATGCCTCCCCTTCCCTTCCCCCTCATGCCACCAGGCACCAAGTCTCACTAATTCTACTCCCAAGTATCTCTTCAGATCATCAAATTCTCCCCACTACTGATGCCACGGGAGCTCTGGTGGCATAGTGCCTAAGGCACTTGACTGCTAACCAGAAGGCTGGCGGTTCAAACCCACCAGCCACTCCTCGGAAGGAAGATGGGGCAATCTACTTCCGCAGTGATACTGCCTCGGAAACCCAAGGAGGGGTCGCTATGAGTCAGGTCTGACTCGACGGCACATAACAACAACAACAACAAAGTTAACTTGACTGAGGACATGTAGTAGGAGACAGAGCTTGGATTTGAACCCAGGTCTGTCTGACACCAATAACATTAACAGAGGACTGTGGCTGCCATCTGGCATCTCTGACAACAGTTCCTCTGATAAGTTCATGAGCCATGCTAAGCTAAGGAAATTTCCCTTTTGGATCTGTAAAGGCTGCCACCCACCCCACAGCTGCTGAGTGTCAGCACCCTGGCTGCCTGGCTGATCTTGGGGTTGAAGAGGAACTGGGTAAAATTAGCACAACAATATCCTCAACTGCCACAAAGCAGGGTTGCAGTGGGGGAAGGGCAGAGCAGCTGGTTGTTCTGTGGAAAGGCTTGGCTGGACACTTGAAATACTTCTCCCTCCTGGATGTACAGATTACCCTTCCTGGGGAGACACTGGGATCTGGCTGTGGCCTCCAGGACAGATGCCAGCACCAAGCAGATTGGCTGGGCAGGACAGGGTTGAAGACAATTAAAGGACCTTCTTTGCCAGCAAAGCAAATCCAGAGAGCCCTGCCCAGCCTCAAATCATAGGGGTGTGGCTAGGCATGAAGGTTCTAGAGCCAGGCCACTGGTGTTGGAGTCCTTACGCTGCCACATGACAGCTCTGTAGCCTGGATAATGAATTTATTAAGTCTCTCTGGGCCTCTGTTTCCTTGTCTGTAATAAAGACACAGGAGCCCTGGTGGTGCCATAGTTTTTAAAGCTCTCTGCTGCTAACCAAAAAGTTGGCAATTTGCACCCTCCAGCCA